TAGGGAGAAGAGACCGACCCCCACCTCGCTACAACCTCCTTTCAGATAGTTGTAGAGAGCAATAAGGTCACCCCTCAGCCTCCTCTTCTCCAGACTAAACAACCCCAGCTCCCTCAGCCACTCCTTGTAACACTTATTTTCTAGACCCTTCACCAACTTCGTTGCCCTCCTCTGGACACGCTCCAGCACCTCGATTTCCTTCTTGGAGTGAGGGGCCCAAAACTGAACACAGTACTCGAGGTGTGGCCTCACCAGTGCTGAGTACAGGGGCACTATCACCTCCCTGGTCCTGCTGGCCACACTATTCCTGATACAAGCCAGGATGCCATTGGCCCTCTTGGCCACCTGAGCACACTGCTGGCTCATGTTCAGGCGGCCGTCGATCAGCACCCCAGGTCCTTTCCCGCCAGGCAGCTCTCCAGCCACTCCTCCCCCAGCCTGTAGCGTTGCATGGGGTTGTTGTGACCCAAGTGCAGGACCCGGCACTGAGCCTTGTTGAACCTCATACAGCTGGCCTCAGCCCAACGATCCAGCCTGGCCAGGTCCCTCTGCAGAGCCTTCCTACCCTCCAGCAGATCACCAGGCCTCCAGCAGATCGTCCAGAATAGTTATTTGATTCCAAGGTGAATGGCTAAATGGCACTCTAAGTGTATTTGCTTAAGTAACTTGGCAATTACCTTTGCTGAGCATCTTTAATAATGGCGACATACATTTGAACGAGGTGTCATGAGCCTTCTTTAATGCATATGAGTGTGTCTGATGTGTCATTGCCTATTAACAAAAATATGGCAGAAATACAGTCAGTTTGGGTACAGGCTGCTCACTCTAGCGCCTTTGAAGTACGATAGGTAGGAACAGATTAAATGTTAAAACATTCATCACTCCAGAGCTTGCCTACACCTCAGGTTCTTGAAAGAGTATCTTGTTTATCCAGGCAGCTCACCTCTCTTCTTACATTGCCATTACTAATGCTGGCAGTTTCCAAATGGGAGTTATACTAAGGTGACATCTGTTCTTTATGTGTGCGTTAAAATAATTTATAATGAATCCAGAAATTGCACAAGAATACTTCACAAGGTAAATATGAACACGAGGGCGTATTGCCAACGCTGAACATTAAAAAGCAGAATCATTCCAGGTTTTTTTCATTTTTTAGTATTTTATTTAAACAGTTACACTATATATACCTATAGTTGTTGATTGACAATAGAAATGTCAAATTTTATATTCTCAAGTTTTTCTTTGCAAACACAAAAATGTAATGACTATACACTGAGATTCTCATGCATCCAGTGTAACTTCAGGAGCTGAAAGTGGTAATCCTTCTCCCACAGCTACATAGTTAGGTTCTTGAGGTTTCTAAGGGAAAGAACTCAACATGTATTTAGTGGGCATCTCTTCCTGGCATAAGGGGGGGAAAAAAAGGGTCCCTAAGTAAAGAAGGGATCAAGAAGAAAAGGACAAAAAGAACATGCATAAAATTATCAGACAATTTTGCAAGAGAAAAAACTTGAATAAAATATGGGCCAAGAGGGCCAAGAGGAAAGAAGGAAATTATTTGGAACATTCTTGGGGAAGTGGGGCAGAAAAAGAGGAACGGGGTACCTGGCTCCCTAGGAGTTTCCCAGCCCTCGCATGCCATTTTTTATTATTGCTTGTCTTTGGCTTTGAAAGCTCTACACACTTGGCTGCTTTATACCAGAAATGGGGACTGTATTTTGGAACTAAGTCTGAAATAATAACTCTTATAATTTACGGTTTGTCCAGTGGAAACTGTATAATTGTAGCAGATAGCAAGAACAGAAGGAGACAATTTTTGACGTTGGTATACAGAACGTTCCCACAAACGCT